AGGAGTACAGGCGCAGGACCTGCTCGGCGTGGGGCGGCACCTCGGCCAGCGGCACTGCGGCGTCAGGGAGAGCGGGGTTAGGGCGCGGATTGTGGGTTTGCATTTATGAATTGGCATATTTATCTACTGATTTATTTGAACTATTATCACTGCTATTAACATTCTCCTACTTTGTGCTTTACGTTACATATCACCATTATAAGGACAAATCGTAGGCCGCAGCAAAAACATTGCACGGTGAAGTACAAGAACAATATATTAGTAAATTGGTAAATTAAACAAACAAAATATGGAACGTAATAAAATGAAAACGATAAATAAAGACCGTAAAAAGACCCAAATCCATCATCAAAAAGAGCGAAACATGACGGAGGAAAAGAGAAGCAAAACACAAAAAGAACTTACTGTCGGAGTACATGACCTCGATGGAGTCTGTGGCCGACTCCCAGACCACCATGCGGATCCAGATGGCCACGTTGGTGGCCACCAGGTGCATGAAGCCGAACCGGGCCACCTGCCCGAACTTCTCCACGATCACCTGTAGGGGACACCAGCGTCAATAGCTATTCCTCTCTATCTATCTATCTATATGTCTGTCTGTCTATCTATCTATCTATCTATCTATCTGTCTGTCTGTCTGTCTGTTTGTCTGTCTGTTTGTCTGTCTGTCTATCTATAAAGACAACGAACAAAAACTCCCGAATGTGCCCGTATCCCTTCCTTAAATAAATCATATCTAAGAATCAATAATCAAGGCCTAAATATGCTGTATGTGTCTGTATCCCCTATCATAAAAATAACTAAGAAAAATTAGGAACCAAAAAAGAACGGATCTAATAGACAAATAGATAGATAAATAAATAAACAATATCAATAACAACAGTAAAAAAAAATATAATAATGATAAACAAAACTCCCCAAAACTTCTTGAATGTGCCCGTATCCCCTACCTCGGAGTTGACGAAGAGGAAGTGCATTTGCAGGAAGGTGAAGAGCGCCTGCAGGATCGGGTGCGCGAACACGATGTCCTCCACGCACTCGCCCTTCATGGTGGAGTGCATGGCGATCTCCAAGCCGTTGAAGATGAGCGTTCCGAGGCCGAACACTGGGGGAGGAGGAGGAGGAGGAGGTGAGATATGGTTAGGCAAATAAATCGGGGAATAAAGAGATAAACAAAATCAAATAAAACATAAGAAAGAGACGATCACGCGAACGGACAAATAAACAAACAAACCAATGCATAAATCAAATAAACCAACGAAGGACCAAAACCAGGGCAAAACATTCTCCCTCGAGCAGGACTCACCCAGCGCGCCGACCCGCAGGTAGAAGGAGGTCCTTGAAGTCTTCGAGCGGGAAATGTGCGCCCTCTTGAGCGTCCCGAAGGAGGTGATGGAGCCCGCCTCAGGGTCCCCGTTCTTCGTCAGGTTCTCTTTGCTGGCGGTGATCGAGGGGCAGTTGTCCGCGATCACGGTCACGTAGATGCACATGATGGCCACGATGGAGCCCACGTACAGGTACATGAGGAAGATGCCCTGCGGGGAGACAGAGGGTGAGAGGGGGTGAGAGGGAGGGGGAGAGGGAGGGGGAGAGGGAGGGGGAGAGGGGGTGAGAGAGGGACGAGAGGGGGAGGGGAGAGGGGAAGGGGGAGGAAGAAGAAGGGAAACGAGAGGTGGGAGAGGGAGGGAGAGGAAGGAGGGGAGAGAGAAAGACGGGAGAGAGGGAGGAAGGAGAGGAAGGAAATGGGAGATAGCGGCGAAGAGGAGGAGGTGAGAGGGAGGAAGGAGAAGAGCGGAGAGAGGTAGGAAAAAAGGAGAAGGGGAGAAAGGGAGGAAGGAGAGGAGTTTTGAGAGAGAGATGAAGGAAAACAGGAAGTAAAAGATGGGGGGCGGAGAGATGAGGGGATTAAAAATTGAGGAAGAATAAGAGGAGGTGAGAGGGTAAGAAGGTAAAGAGGAGGTGAGAGAGAGAGGAAGAAGAGGAGGAGGTGAGAGAGGGAGGAAAAAGAGCAGTTAGAAAAAGAAACAGTGTTAGGAGAAGGAATGGCCGAAAATACATAAACATATGACTGCTTAAATTGACATTCATTTATGTATGAAAGTATAAAACAATTCTAAAAAGTAACGGTCTGTCTCCATCCAAAAGTCACTTTCCTTTCAAGCTCCCTCAAAAAGCATTCACTAAACAGAAACAAAAACAGCAAAAACAAAACAAAACAAAAAAAAGCATTATTTTGTACGCACCTCTACCAGTCCATCACACACACACACTCACACACACAAACACAAACAAATAAGGTGTACGTTGTCTCACCATTCCCTCACAAAAAAAAAGAAAACAAAAATCACTCCAAACAACCACAAAAGCTAAAACAACAGCACTTACCTGGAACGTGAGCGGCAGAACCTGGTTGTCGAGGACCTCGGTGAGGCAGAAGGCAAGCATGAGCAGCACCACCAGCTTCCCATACATTCCGGACATGACGACCCAGAGGTACGTG